CTTCTTCTTCATAGTTCTCTTCATCCAAAGTTTCCACTTTTGCTCCCTTTACTTGAGCATCCAATTCCTCAGTACTTATCTTCTCAACCTCCTTCTCATGAGAGTACCCACTTTCTAACTCTAATTCTTTAATAGCTACTTGTTGAGCTCTTTTTCCAACTAAACTGAGATACTCATTGTAATCCATAAACTCTCGTAATTTTCACTTATCAGCTCCTATATACACAAATCTAGGGTCAAGCAATAATTCTACATAAAAAGAAGAAATTCAATCTTCTAATTTTTCTTTTTTAAAGTCTTTAGCTTTTGATCAAGTTTTAGACCATAAACTAGAAAAATTAAAACTTTGAGCAGAAAAACTATCAATTGCTACTTCATGAGCAATATCCATTAACTCTTTAATACTTAAATGCATTCCTACTTACTAAATATTCTATTTAATTATTTTGATAGTTTATTCACTTATTGTATAGAGATTTAGTAAATAATACAAAATAAGTTTCATTCTCTCCAGTAGATGGTAAAGATAACTCTAATTTTTTAATTTCTTGAGTAATTCAATCTAAATAACTAATAGTAGAAATTTTTTTATTTCTATATTCTCCTATTAGAGAAGCTGTATTCTTAATATATACAATTTCCTTTTCTTTTTCTAGTGGACTACACTCAGAATCCAAGAATGATTGAAATTTACTATGTTCTAACGAATATAACCGCAAAAGAGTATGTTCACTTTCTTCAATATGACCCTTAAATAGTAAAAGCAAAGAATAGAGAGTTTCAGCTCCTTTCGAAGAATTTTTTAATTCTCAAAAAAGTTCTTCAACTCTAGATAAAAGACTATTATCCGTAAGTCTCAAAAATTCATCAATATCTCACTTCTCGGGAGAAGTAGAGAATATCGGTGCTATTAACTTATATATTTGATTGTTATTAAATCTAGGAGAATTGTAAGATTTCTTTCATTCTTGAAATATTGCAAATAACAATATTTGATATGCACAAGCAGAAGGATTAGAATAAATTTCTTTCTGCATATACTCTCTCGATAGTAATAGTGAATATCGTTGATAATTAGTCTTTTCTAAAAAAATTAGTTTCTTCTCTCCCTTGAAATTTAATAATCTTGTCCACTTAATAATCAAACTAGGATCTATAGATAAAGTGAAACTTCCGCAAAAATATTTATCTCTCAAGAGATAATCTAATCTATCCACATCTATATCTGAAGAAATTAATTCTTCTATTCACTTTCTTTCACTTTTTCCAGAGAGAATTTTCGTAATCTCTTCTGGAAAAAATTCATCCTCCCTTTTATGAAAAGTTGATCGCTCAGATAAGAGACTATAAAGTTTTGACCCCTTATTAAGAAGCAATCGTTTTGTCATTTGCTCATGAGAAAATCCTGGAGCTAATCACTCAAAAAAATGGGAAAAAGGGCCGTGACCCAAATCATGTAGAAGAGAGCAAGCAAGACATAAATCTATTTCTAACCGATCTCGTTCTAAATGGAGATCTCCTAAAGAAAGAAAATGAGAAATAAATTTAGAAGAAAGAGCATATACTCCTAAAGAGTGAGATAACCTAGTATGAGTAGCTCCTGGAAAATTTTCATATAAAAAACCTAATTGACCTATAGAAGATAACCTCTGAAACTCTGGAGTATTTAGAAGAGAGTATAACCAAAAAGAATAATCTGAAAAATTAATTTCTCCATGTATAGGATCTTTAATAAAAGGTCACCCACCAGTAATAGGTAATTCTAAGTGAAGTTTTGAGAAAGAGAGCAATGCCTCCTAACTCAAAGTACTATCAGAAAATAAATTGATTGCTTCCTGTAATCTTTCTTTAGTACGTTTTTCTCCCAATAAATAAATAATAGAGTGAAGAGGTAGACCTTCTTTCTCTCCTATTAAAGAGAGTCTCAATAATTTATAAAAAGTAGGAGCTTGTACTCCCAAATTAGAAAGTAATCTTTTTAAAATTAAACGAATTTCAAATTCTTCAAATTTAGGATTTTTCTTATTTTCAAATGCAACTAGAGTTTCATTCAGTATTCTAGGTGCTTCTTCAACTGTCTTTATTTCATTTTTCATACTATCAGTAAAGAAGCCGCTAAAATAAAACTTCTGGGCTAATTCCTCAAGAAAAGCAGCATATTTAACTCTGGAACGAAAGCAAATTGCAAAGTCTCTGCGCTTATCAGGAAATTCTATAAATTCTTCATATTCTCCAGTGAAAAAGGGTAAAACGAAATTTAAATATTGATAAATATCTAACTGATTTAAATATGATTGACTCATTCACTCTAATTTCTTGAAATCTACAGTAGAAGGAGAGCCGCTCAACTTTTCTGTATTAAAGTGTTCAATACTTTCTTTCAATGTAAAGAATTCTCTTTCTCCCTCAGTTCAACCAAGAATTAGTAAAAAATTCAAAATTGCTTCAGGATAATACCCTCTTTCTAAGAAAAAACTAACTAAATATTTAAAAGAGTCTGGATCTCTCTTAGAAATCTTTTTTCCTTCCTCAGACAATAAAAGAGAAAGATGACCAAATCTAGGTATATATTTAGTCCAACCAAAAGCCTCATAAAGTGCTAATTGATAAGGAGTATTTGATAAATGTTCTTCTCCTCGAAAAATATCAGTGATTTTCATTTCATAATCGTCTACTGTTGCTGCAAAATTGTAAGTAGGTTGTCCATTACTTCTCATTAAAATTATGTCACCCATAGAAGTAGCTGGAACTTCCATTTCTCCCCTTACATAATCATCTCACTTATAAACTCTAGAAGAATCAACTTTTAATCGAATACAAAAACTCTCTTTTTCTTGTATTTTTTGTTTAATTTCAATCTCTTTTAATTTCTTGCATGTTCCTGGATAGATATATTCTCCTTTTTTAGTTTTTTCTAGTTCAGAAGTACTACAAAAACAGCGATAAGCTCGTTTAGTTCTTAAAAGTTCTGCAATTCTTTCTCTATACTTCTCTGTTCGTTGCGATTGCAAATAAGGACCATACTCCCCTGGACAAATAAATGATTCGTCAGGAATTATAGACAGCGATTCAAGATCATCCAAAATACCTTGAATTTGCTCACTCTTATTTCTAGCTGTGTCAGTATCCTCAATTCTCAAGATGAATTCTCCATTATGTTGTTTAGCATATAAATAGTTAATTAAAGCTGTTCTCAACCCCCCAATATGAAGAGACCCTGTCGGAGACGGTGCGAATCTAGTTCGAACTTTTTTTATAAGATTATGATCTTCCATAACGCCTTAAATTAAATAATTCTTTTTTCTCTTGAGGGAGATCCTCCCTCTAAGAGAACTATTTATTAAGGATCGTGAATGAGAAGGTTACACTCTTTGAAAATTTATTAAGCAAAATTTTCCACACTATACTAAACTACTCATAATTAAAGAATTACGACTTAAACGAATTCTCATAAATAAAGAAATAAGCTATTTTCAATACAAATTGCAAATTGGTGATCTCATTTCCATTCTGGTATTACCCCCAAGAGAGAAAGTTAAAAAGAAGCCGCCTAGCTATATCAAACGAGAAGAAGTAGATAATTTTAAAAACAATCAGATTTTATTTGAAACTGATCACATCTTAATTGTGAGTAAGTATTGTGGTCAAACAGTTCAATCCAATAAACTAGAAAGCTCAACCTCTTTAGAAACATTACTTCAGTCTTATTCTTCAAGCACCGGAAAGTCTGGCTATAAATATAAATTCGTTCACAGATTAGATGTTCCAGTTTCAGGACTTTTAATAGGTGCAAAAACTGCTAAAGCACATAATCTTCTAAGTAAATCTCTAAAGAAGAAACAGATTCAAAAATTTTATCTAGCTTTAATTTTCGGAATATTATCAAAAAAAACACAAAAACTCTCCGATTGAATTTACGATAAAGGAAAAAGGGTCACAGTTTCCGACGAATCTAATCCAAGCTCAAAATTCTCTGAATTAATAATTACACAGTCTAAATCCTATCACACTTTCTCCCTTATTGAGCTCCAGTTAATAACTGGAAGAAAAAACCAAATAAGAGCTCAACTATCTAATATTGAGCATCCTATATTAGGAGATAGAAAATACTATTTCGAAAAACTTAAAAAAATTTATAAATTAGATTTAAACTCATTCCCCTTCTCTCGATTTAATAAAAAGAAAATAGCTCTTGTTGCATATAAGTTAATATTTCCAGAAACTATAGTAAATGAGTTGAAATTACCTTGAACTGCATTTGAGCTTCCCGCAGAAAAAAACATAATCTTAACAACATTACAAAAAACTAAGAATGATTAAGAGCATAGTCTTCTATTTTGTTTATATAGTCAAGTAGAGTTTTAGGTTTTTTCTTAATTGTCAGAAATTCAATAGTTTTAGGTTTAAACATACTCTTCTTGATTGATGCAGAATCTTCTCAGTCAAAATACTTTTTGAGAAGATATCCTAAACAAGGGTGATAGTAAACTCACACTCTCAATTTTGAATTCTCTTTTTCTATTAAAAAGTAAATCAACACTAGAGAAGCGCCGATGCATCCTAAAGCGGGAAGACATAAAGGTACACAAAATGTTTGTAATCTTCTATTTTTAATATTTGAGGACAAATTAATAGTTGCTAAAGATAATGCTAAATTAGCTAGAGATGAAGCTATTAAGGAGATGTTAAAAAATACAAACAATTTCTCTCCTATATATTCAGCTTTTCTCAAGATATTAAAAAAACCTCCTGTAATTCCAATAACATAGTGCTTTCAAACAGTTGGGGTTGCAAAAAAGAAAATTTTTTCCACAATATTCCTTGATTTCATATGAGTACTTAAATGTATAGATGAAAGACCCAATATGTAAAAACATAATCCAGCTAGGGAAAAGTAAACTGTGGCTCCAAAAAGTCATCTTAGATAAATAACATTACTTTTAGAGAGTTTTGATAGATCTCCGCCCCCCTCCAGGGGGGCAGGAGAGTCTAAAAAGAAATTATTGAATCAACTCGCGAATGCTGTCAATATTAGATTTAAGAATTTGAGCAGATCTGTGTAATTTATCCATCTCCTTCTGAGATAACTTCATCTCAACTATCTTTTCTACCCCATATTTACCCACTATTGAAGGCGCGCCTAACACTACTTGAGATAATCCATATTCACCATTTAATAAAACACTAACAGGTAAAACTTCTTGTTTATCGAAAATAATAGACTTTAATATTTGAGCCAATGCTGCACCTATCCCGTAATGGGTCGCCCTTTTTCGTTTAATTATTTCGTAAGCTTTATGACTAACTACTTGTTCTAACTTTTCCTCATAATCTGAACAACAGAAAGGACTGTTAGGATAATGATTGTCTTCGCAACGATTTACAGTCAATCCCGCAACTTTTATATTTGAAAAAGTAACTAAAGAACTGTCCCCATGCTCCCCCAATATGAACGCACCAGAAATGGAAGAAGGGGTAACTCCTAATCCCTTAGAGAGTTCTACTTTTAGTCTAGAACTATCTAGAACAGTTCCAGATCCTAACACCCTTTTGAACTTGAAAGATGAAACTCTTTGAAAAACATAAGTCAAAACATCCACAGGATTTGAACAAATCAGTACAATTCCCTGGAAACCAGAATCTCTTACATCTTCTGCAATCTTCTTTATTATTTTTGCATTATCCCTAATCATTTCCAAGCGAGTTTCTCCTTCCTTTTGAGGTCTTCCCGCTGTAATTACTACAAAATCATAACTAACAAGTTCTTGATAGTTCTTGATTACTTTCAATCTAGGAGAAGAATCAAAATAGAGAGAACTATCTTCTAAATCCAATACTTGACCTTGAGCAAGTTCTTCATTGTAGTCAATTAGACCGTACTCAGCTGCTAAATTCTGATGAATCGCAGAATACAAAAAAGAAGAGCCTACAGCTCCACAACCTATAACAGCAATCTTAACTGCCATAACCTAAATTATTTTATTTTTCTTTATCACTAAAAAATCATCAGAATTACGACTTAGAAATATAAAGAGAATGTTGTATAGAAGCTCTATCTAATTTCTCGGTTAATTCTTTTCGCGATTCTGAGCTAATTTTCAATTCTTCTACAGATGCAATCTCTTTATTTTTAGGTAAAGAAGTTACATCTAGGGACTTATCCTCTGTAGAAGGAAAAGATTCTATATTAACTTCTTTCTCTGCTAAACTAGGGCTAGATCACAATTTGCAAGCTTTTACATTTAACTCATCTGCAAGTTTTTTCTTTTTGGCTCAATATCTAGCCATGATCATTAGCTGATCGACTAAAAAAGTTCATTTTTTTCCCATTTTTTCACATACATCTAAATTGAAATCATTAGATTCTCGTATTCACTTGACCAATTCATCCTTAAATTCTCTAGAGCCGTAAATTTCATCTACTTTAGAGATAATAGAATCTTCTTCCTTCACAATATATTGGGAACTTCAATTTTTCCAAAGTGTGAAAAAATTTCAGAGAAATTCAAATGATTTATGTCGAGTCATAATGATCACAGCGGGTTTGATTTGTTGAGAAGCAATTGAACATTTTGAAGGTGGTGTTAATCCAAAAGACTGATAATCTTTATCCCCGCTGATTCAAAAAAAGCCTGTCTCTCGAAACTTTTCCTGTCCTATTTCTCTATTAGTTATTAAAAAGATGAAATCATAATCCTCCTTGCTATTCTTTACATTTTCCATTGCCTTTTTTAGATCTTCATTTAACTTATCGTGTTTGATAGCTCTGTCTACTCCTAACATATTCTCTTTTTTAGTAGTGTATTTGTGCTCAACATAAATATTTAGAGACTTTTCTGAAGTTAGAGAATTCTTACTATCTCTAAAGGAAATTTTGTAATCCCCCCTAAATTGTTTCCCCTCCACTTTAGGTTGATGAATAATATCAATGAACTCCAACTCTTCTGAGGTAAATAATTTTTCTATATCATCTTTCCAAGATCGTTCATAATTCTGTCCTGCTAAAATCTTGTCTCTTTCCTCTTCTTCCCTTTTCTTCATAGCTTGGATTATCTCAAAATAATTAGTATGAAATTGCTTATATCTAGAGAGTATATTTATATCTGTCTCTAATCCTGAATTACGAAGATTTTCATAAAAATTTCAATAATTTAAATAGTCGTTCTTAACAATCTCTTTTTCTTCAAGATATCTATCTCTATCATGAGTTAAACTAACAACAGCTTGTTTTAATTCAGTATTCTCCTCTCTCAAATTACTCAATTCTGATCGAGATTCGATTAAATTAGATTCTTGAGTTTTATCTTTCGTCTCGAGAGAGGAATATTGAACTTCTAGCTTCTTTAAAAGCTCATCTTTTTTATGCACTAATTCCTGAAGAGCTGAAATATCTCTCTTAAGATTTTCTAAAATTTTTCCACCTTCAACAATCTTTCTATCTTTATTTATTATCTCTTGACTCAATTTAGTTAATTCAGTGGATAAATTCATTTTCTCTTGTTGATAAGCTATTTGAACCTCTCTAAGCTTTTTTACTTCATCGGATAAAATACTTAACTTCTCCTCTCTAGCTTGGGCTTGGATTTCTAGGGAAGAACATTTTATTTCTAATGTTTTGTTTTTCTCCATTTCAGCCTGAAGGCCAGACTCAATCTTTTCATTTCTCGATTTATAGTTCTCTAATTCTGTTGTCAATTGATCATTCTTGTCTTTTAACCGTTCTAATTGTAACTCACTTTCAAATTTAGAATTGTTTGGTGATGTTTTATCTCCTGATCTCTCCTCTTCTTTTTCAGCTTTCCTTTTTTTTAAAAAATGGTAAGCTGTAAACATCAACAGGGCTGCAAGAATAAGTGCAAAAGCACTTCAGGAAGCTGCTTCATTAAAAGTTAATAACAAAACAATAAATTAAGCTGTCCGGGTGGACAGCTTTTAGTTAGAGTCTAAATAGGTCGGTCTTTAGATATAGAATTTCAGATTAACATAAAAGGATGGAAAGAAGCGGTATGTTTATTTAATTTCTTACTCAAATATAAATCTTGAGGTAATTGGATATAGTATTTTTGAGTATCCGTTAGAGTCTGTTTACATCATTCATCTTTTGCACAACTAGATAATAGTTCTCATCAGTGGGTCAATTCTGCTCAATTTCCCTCTGAAAACGCACTTAAAAAGCTTCTATTAATATCAGAATTTGGATTCCCATTAGTTTTGTAATCAGTTGCTCCTATATGTTTTTGTCTTCCTAATCCTCCTTCACCTTGATAATATCCTCCACTTCATCAACTTTTTTCAGCATATCAAATATAGTTAATAAATAAGTTTGGACCTCTATAAAGTTCATCATAAGAATATTCCACTTTTAAAGAGTATGTTTTACCATTATATTCCTTAGATAAAGCAAGTAGTAGCCCTCCTGAACTTGATTTACTTATAGTATGTTTAATTTGCTGTTTATCTATATCTCCTCCGAACTCAAATCACGACTTAGATAAAGCCGCTATTTTCTGATGCTTTTCATAAGTATTTAAATTATCGGAAGAGTCATTTAAATAAATAGAATAAGTTTGTTCGCTGTCAGGCAATGAAATTTCAACTGAATTAATAAAATTTCGCAAATCTCGAGAATATAAGGGCATTTCTAAAGTTTTTCAAAAGTGAGGAATTCACCAAACTTCAGACTTTTTTGAGACTCTTTGACTGTTAATTTCTTCTACATTTTGATATTTGGTGTAATCTTCATTCTCTTTCTTTTTTAATAAGTAGGATATCTCTGAAGAACCTAAAGTGTTAGATTGCAGTTCAGTTTGGCCAGACGCAAGACTAGAAGAGGATAAGTTCAATCCAACTGTCTCAGTAGCTGAATTGCCTCGAGTTTCTTCTTCTTTTATAATTCCAGAAATTTTGTTTTCTGGAAGAGTTGCTTGCCCCCCCCTCGCAGCTAATGTAGAAGGTTTGACAGATATTGTTGTGCCATTCACTCCTTTATAAGCTAAAAACGAAAGTCCTGCAGTTACTAAAGTTATCAAACCCTTACTCCCTAGTGAAAAAGCTGAAGAAATCATAAAAATTTAAATTAGTCTGAATCCAAAAAAAATGAAACTTTAACCCAGCTCAATATGAAGCTGTTTGATAGTCTCTCTAACAGTCATAAATTCTTAACTGACACTGAGGAAATCACTATTTACCTTTGCGGACCTACTCTATATAAACAACTACACTTAGGAAACTTAAGACCAATAATTATATTTGATTTTCTCATAAGGTATCTAAGGCATCAAGGAATACCTCATCATTACATTCAAAATTTGACTGATATAGACGAAAAAATTCTAAAACAAGCAGTTAGTGAAAAAAGAAAAGTAAAGGAGTTAACTAACCAATATTTTAGATCATTTATAAGTATTTTGAAAAATCTAAATATAATTTTTCCCCATAACTTACCATCTGTGAGTGAAAATATTGAGGAAATTCAAAGAATAATTGAATGTCTAATTAAATTAGGAAAAGCAAAATGAGATAAATCCACTCAAACAATCAAATTCTTGCAGAGCGAAAAAAATGAGAATTTAAATTATTTTTCCAATAATGTCTACGAAGAACTGACTGAAGCTGATTTCGCTCTCTGAAAAGAAAACAAACTGTCTACCTTCAACTTTAATTCTCCCTGATTTATGGGAATTCCTGGTTGGCATATTGAATGTTTTGCAATAATCCAAAAATACTTTAACCTACCAATAACTATTCACGGGGGAGGAGTAGACTTAAAGTTTCCTCACCATGAAAATGCAAATCTATTAAGTATATCTCTTTTCCAAAAAGATTTAGCAGAAATTTGAATTCATGTTGGCCAAGTACTAAATGAACAGGGAAAGCTCTCTAAATCTTCAAATTTACAGTTCTCTATTGAAGAATGCGCATCCTCTTACTCCTGGTCTTTCTTAAGATATATTTTCATGAAAACTAAATATCATAAACCAATAACCCTCTCTCAATCTATTCTGATGATCTATTGAGAGGAATGAAAAACTTATATAAGTGCTCTACTCTACTCAGAAGCAGTACTATCTAACTCATTAGAGGCTCAATGAATAAAAATGGACAAATTAAACTCTCCCGATAAAAAAGTTATAGAACTACTAGAAACGAATCTCAATCTTCCTAAAATTCTGTCCTGATTAGAAGAGCTTAAATTTTCTCTCTTGACTGCATTACGTGAAAAAAATTTAAAAAATATTTCAGAATACAGTCATAAACTGAGATTCCATTTAGAGTGACTTGGTTTCACAATATCTTCAGTTAGTGAAGAACAGAGAAAACAATTTAATAATTGAGTTCAATTATTAGAGCAGCGAGATTATGTGAAGGCAGATAAACTACGCTCCCAACTCCAATCTGAATGCATTCTTCCCTAATTGGGCTTTGAATCCAAATTATTTCTTAATGGTCGTAAAGCAGTAATAGAGACTCTTCAAGATGAACAGTTAAGAAATCTAATATCAAATGTATTTTTACCAATCTCTCAAAAACTTTTAATTTCTCAATGCGAAAGATTACACATTCCCTATACTATCAAAAGTAAATCTTGATTAGAAACGCTACGACAAGAAACCAACTCCAAATATAGAGATGTTTTTGCATTTCTTCACTCTAAAGAACAATTAAGTTTTTCTAAGATGCTCAAAAAATTATCTCAATTTGCTTCTCCAGAATTAGTTGTTATGGTTGATAAAGTGCAAGATCCTCATAATTTCGGAGCAATTATTCGAACTTGTGTAGCAGCAGGAATTAACTATATTATCTACCCTTCTTCCAATAATGTGAGATTAAATAGTGCAATCTTAAAAACTTCTCAAGGATATGCATTAAATGCTAATCTAATATCCGTTCCTAATCTTTGTAATGCTCTAGAAAAATTAAAAAAGCTTAACTTCTGAAGTTATGCCGCTTCTCTAAGTCCTGAAGC